AGGTCATAGTTCGTTCTTCTTCCTTCCTATTCGGCGGTAAACGAATGTACTAACAGTGGGAACATAAATAGGTCTATAATTATGATTTTCCTGTACCTACTTACTTTGACGACGTATTTCGAAGTGGATATTATATTAACTCTATTTGTAGCTGTTGATCGAATGTACTATGCTCGCCTTGACATATTTTTTATGCTATCTTAATTTAACCACGAAATTAGTAGCCAATCACTGTCATTTTGTAAGAGTGGGAATCAATTAATTTAAACAACTATCTATTTTCCTACTTGCGATGTAATAACAGTTGTCATCGACATGTCGATGCTATAAAATTAAGAAAAAGGTAACAAATACTTTAGCGATTGAGAGAAAGCAAAACTACTTTTTAAATTTTATATAATTTAACAACTTGAGAAATAAACTTGAAATGCTGCATTGTAAACAAGTTTTCAGCACAGTTATAATTATTTATGATATCAGTGCGGTAAGTTGGTTATTACAAACGTGTAGACGAATGTAAGCCCGAGACAAAGTCGAGGGAACACCATAGTCACGAGTTTGTAATACCAACCCGCACGAATGTCATTCAAAGTTTTTCAACACATTTGTGAGAAAACATTATACATAATTTAAGTAATGAAGCAATTTTTTTCTAATAAGAAAATGGCGCGCATTTCCAAATGGCGCCACGTGCGGGTGGTGAAAATTAAAACTACATCTTTCCTCTCTTTTTATTTTTAGTATTAAAGTGAGACATAGTTATAGACTAAAAGCACTTCCGAGGAGGTTTGATTAAAAAAAAACGTAAAAGATACGCACGGTACCTACCATGGGAGCGTGCGTAATGAACTTTACCGCACGCTCCGCTATATGGCCCGTTATTTTGAATTTTCGAACAATGTATACAACCTTCGTAAATGCAGTTTTTGAGGAAATGTGTTGAAAAAAATAATTACTTTCGTATTCAGAGCAAAACATTTTCAGGTTTCTAATTATTTCAATTACACGTCGTCGCATACGTAATTATTAGCTCTGTAACTATCTGAGACATAATGGAAGAGAGAGTTGAATATTTTTATTAAAAATGGGAAACCCTAGGAAGCCATTCACTTAAGCCACGTCATAAAATATTTAATCGCATACTTATTCTTATTTTAGTGAAGTGAGTGACGCATACTGCAATCGTTTTATAAATCTATACTTACTCTGCGTTTGTTTGCACGACACGCCGCGCTATGATTAATTATGACAAGGAAACGTTTATCATTGGCTAGTGAAATAACCTTTCATTTATTATGGTGCTACCGTTCGCTCGTCGCTCGCTTATCATTCGTATTTTCACAATATAAACTCGTTTGTATATTTAAACTGATTTGGTTTGTGCTCAAACAATGAAACAACTTCCTGTTGATGAATTTTATATGCAAACTTACGCCTGAAGTATGCGCAATTAACTAAAATGCAGCTGACAGATAATAGTGACACCGGTTAAAGTTGTAAAATTTGTTTTTTGGCGGAATATAGGAAAACACAAACAAGCCTTATATAAAATAAGAAAGTCAATGTTTGAATTCTAATTGGATATTCTTCGATTGACCGAAGCACTAAACTAGATTTTTTTTCTAAACCTTATCTGCCTTGCAGCCTAAGATTTAGTGGAAATAAAATCGATACAGTCCGTTAAGTTTTCTGTAGCATAGCAGACACAATCCGTGAAGATCTTGGTAGAATAGCCAATTACGCTGATTCGATTCCCCATACCTGGGTCGATTAATATTTTTTTAATGTTATTAAATCGGTGTATTACTCTACGACGCGACGTAGACATTTTGTGAGAGTGTCTTACATTAAAATCCCTGTACACAAACTATATTTTAATAGAAAGAAATTATTTTAAAATCAATCCCTTACAAATGAGTAACAGGTGTTTAACCCAATACTTAATATAAGAAACTCAAATATCTTATTAAAAAGAAATATATAATTGGATAAGATTTTAACATTTATCATTTTACATTAGGGCTTGTTTATATTTTTCTATAACTAACAAAATGAATATTCCAAGTTATTGCATTCAGAGAACGCTTACCTAACAATGCTCTGATTAATGATTCCGAGAGGGATCACAAAAAAGGCTCGGAACGTCAAGTATCATGTAAAATTTAAGCGCTATAATATAAAATAAGAATGTAAGCGTTTTAATAAATAACCCATCACGAAACTTGACGAGGAGTGTTTTTTCGTTTTCCATGCAACTTTTGTGGCCTCTTTGAAGTTTTATTAAACAAAGCCATGACTTTCTACAACATCCCCTTTACATCAAAACTCATAAAAATTGAGTTTAAAACTTAAGGCGTGTAATAGTAACACTCAGACGGACAGGCAGATAAGGCCCTTTCTAGTACAAAAAATAATGCTAAAATAAACTTTATCATAGTTTAATTTTCCCTTTTTCCGTATAGTGAGAGAGACTGCTCAGCAGCTAACTTTTTAAAACTTAACTGTAAGCAGGAAAAGAAAGTACAAAAAATTATCCATTGTTTGTTGAGCTTTCCTACCTTGATTTTCGCTAAAGTAATATGGCAATATGGCTAGTAATCATGTCCAATTAATTATTGTCTTCTTTATTTGCAGTCACATTTTTATTTCATCTCTTGTATAGTGTTACTGCTTGATATATTTATTACAAAATGCATCTTACCAACAATAGTTCAGGAGGTGATTAATGTGGCTCTTAGATGCCGCTGATATCATTGTGATGTTTAGAATGAGCGTCCTTTGATTCACACCACCTTCATACTTACCTACTTATATTATCTGATTCACTAGAACACGACAGGACATGAAAAAATTGCGCCATACTTACCTCATTAATGGAATCTTCGTTTTTGCTCTCTGGTCGTGCACCACATTAAATGTAGTTATTTATATAAGGTATTACAATATTCTTTCTTTTTAGTTGATTTCCCTTGTTATGTTATGTGAGTTTTTGTAAAAGGAATAGTTCAAAATTAAGTCGTTTACTTCATTATGAAATTAAAATTATAAAAAATCGAAAATCGACCATCCAATTTAGTTTTTGTATTAAAATCTAAACAGCTGTGTTTTCATTGGCAATTGGTAATGAATAGGTGGAAAATATTTTCCGGAAACAGAAAGAATCGATCGCTCATCACATACATAACGATCGAAATAAATCTGTCTATTGATGTTGTATCTGTCGTCCTCAATTTTGTATGTTGAGCTCTGCAAAACTCTTAATTTGAAAAATATCCGGGAGTTTATAATAGCTTATTCAGAAAAACGTAGTTATGCTACAAGGGCAACTTGCTTCTGCCATGCGTTGGTTGGGATCGGTTCAATCCAGTTCATTCCCCGTGATGTTATCGCAGACATATCGTCAGCGAGCAGAAAAGCCGGTTACAACGTTACGTTCATGATCTTTTAGGGTTTCCACGTGCCCTCTACATGCCCCCACATGTTTGATTACACGTAATATTGTTTAATACTCGGACTTCCTTTATAGGTCGACCGCTTAACTCTGTTATGATGAAAGAGGTAGTCTTAGCTCTTTCTCTCTAAGAGTATATGATTGTGGATTTTTCGAATTGAATTGGAATGGCTGGCTGGATTGTAACCTCCAACTCCTTACAGAATTCACTGCAAGAAATGATTTCCTTTAGATGGAGTTCTGTTGCTGTTGGTGAATATAGTTCCACGCAGGGTAAAATATTTAGTTTTTGTCGGCATGGTGAATGCGGCTTCATCATCATCAGCCTATTAATGTCTCCACTGCTAAGGCACAGGCCTTCCCTATCGATGGAATAGGGAGATTGGGCCATGACCCACCACGCGGGCCCAGTGCGGGTTGGTGGGTACTAACGACTGCAGATGCAGCCGGGACCAACGGCTTAACGTGCCTTCCGAAGCACGGAGGAGCTTGAGATAGCAAATTTTCGGTCACCCATCCAATGACCGACCACTGCGAAAGTTGCTTAAATTCAACGATCGCAGCGGACCGCGCTAACCACTTGCGCCATCGAGCTCCTCTTGCGGCTGCTTGAATGCGGCTTACCTAGCACATTTTTGGCCGCATCTCATAGGTAACGATGTATGTAGGCAATGAGCGGACACCTTATTGTTTTTGGAATACGTTTTAGATACAAACAATCACAAATTAGGCGCGATCGAGCAGTGGCTATGGGAGAGTGATGTTTATGTATTTTTGGATGCTCTGTGAATATAAATATGATAATGATATTTACAAATTTATATGTATGCAAACATTAATAACACAGTTTGTTCATTATATCGGTCCTCATTACTGAGTTAAGATTACAGCTATATAAAACGTAACACAGTGAAACATATTTTATTGTTTAATTTGCGTTATATGGCGCGTGAGTTGTCACTGTTCGCTTAGTCACTACCGGTAGTACGAAACGAATCATTTTGTGCAGCAATGACACTGCCTGTTGCTGCTGTTTCATTCAACATTTGTTCATATGAGTTATTATGTTACGGTCAATCGTTGCTTTTAACGAAGTTAATATTTTCTGGATTCCCTGTACATATAACTTACAAAACGCCACCATCCTGTTTCAGATTTTCTTTAACTTGAACAATACGTACTTGATATCGTTTTCATATTTAAAAAGGATAGCTTCCAGTTTTCTTAGGCTGCGTTGTTTCATCGATGGTAAAATTTGACTTTAGGTTAATGCTATAGAAAATAAAAACATTTTTCAAAATTTCATACATTTAGTCTGTATTTTACGTGGCATTTACTATACTCAAATTGAACTATAGATGAAACAACGCGACCTGAAACACACCTTATCACTATTCGATTCGCGGCAGGTAACAATATTAGAAGTGCAAAAGCCGTAAGAAAAACTTTTGAGCTTTGAGTGCCAGGATTAATAAAAAATAACTTCTCAGTGTGTTTGAAAGAACAGTGATCTCGTTTATGTGAGAACGCGGAGTGTTATACAATCACCATGGCTATGGACACTATGGCTGTTGAGCTGCCGGAGCTGCCTGCGCACGCACCTTCGACTCCACTCGAGGAAACACCAGAAGAAAAGTGAGCATTTGAAATTAGATATCACTTTAAACATATATCTTACCCACGCGTAGAATTTCAGCTTTTCTATATATTTTGGTAGTCAAAGGCTTAGAGGAGGTAAAGTCCAAACGCGAAGATAGCTGGTGCAGCAATTCAGTATTTAAGTCTAGGTGAAAGTTTTTTTTTAATATCAGGTCAGTACTCAGAAAATTACAAAATTATTTAAACTTAAGATACTGTAAACTTAATAATGATAAGTGCACATACTCGTATATATTATAAATAAAACAGTCCTTCGCCGCGTCTGTTCCCGTGTTTGTTCGCAGTGATATGAAAAAGACTGATCGTATTTTCATGTGATTTTCACAAACCTTAGATAATTTGCATTTGAGGTTTAGTGTATAATCAATGTCCGAGAATTTTATTAGTATTTTCAGTAATCTTTTTAGTTCTCGTTAGGTTCTTGAGTATTGTGTGACCTTTCTAGTGAATTGATGTCAAGCTAATTATACAAGAGATTATGTTTTTGCACTTTAACATCCAATCAGCAATCACTGGACCAATTATTGCAATTTTTATCTCAGTTTAAAGAAATCTCGGGTTGTAATAAGGATCGTTTTCATATTTGTCCTTATAATGAAGGTTATCCCGTCGTCTGTGTAAGCAAAATGGCCGACAAAACCCCCCTTGTTATATTTCGAGTTCTACTGAAGCTATTCTCTTCATTTATGTCTTAAATCAATCTTAAATATATTCTCCATCTATTTCTATTTATCTATTCTATATCTAAATATTGTATTACTAGCTGACCCAACGAACTTTGTACCGCCATAAAAGTAGGGGTTGGCGGTAGTAGGGTGAAAATTTCGTGCTATATGTATTTTTAATGCCATATTTGCAAGCAGCTGTGCTGAATTAATACGAGCATGTGGAATTGTGGATGCTTTACGGTCCGGCTTTAATTAGTAACGACACATTAAAGGTCAGTGCCAGTTAATAAAACAATCTTGAAAAAAAATAACGTCTGCGATTTCTTAATTTGAAATCAGAATTGAAATCTACAGAATTTGCTTATGTAATGTTGAGATCATCATACTATTCCTATTTAACGTGGATTAAGAGTTTTCAATTAGTGTATCAAGGACATCAAGTCTATTTTACTTTTTCGTTAATGGTCTTTGATTTTTTTTATTAAATTTATTTTAAATTGTTAATGTTCTACCTCAACTACTACTTTGATTTTGTATGAGAAAAGCAAATTCCGCTAAGATTTGCACTAACAATTCATCCAGTAAAAATAATGTAAATCAGCACTTTCTATATATTGTTTTAAACTTTCATGGTCACTAACATTGTAGTAATATAAGTTATTAAAGGGATTGTTACCATGTACTTACCTTGTTTTTAGCGTACTAATGGCGCTCCGTAATCATGGCGCTTGCAACAGTGCTGAAATATCAGAAACTCGCTAAATACAAGGTACATAATAACAATCCCGTACATAACTTGCAGCACTTTCTATCTGTTAAATATATTTTTATAACTGTTGTAGAATTACAGTTTTTTTTTAGTATGTCTTTATAAATTTTGCGATTGTTGATTAATTAGCTTCTCCCAACTAATTTTATCACTATCCACTGTAAGTTCTGAGCCAATAAAGTCCTCAGCTGACAACCTGTTTAAATTTCTAATGATTAGAAAAGTGATGATCATTTTAGTAGTCGCTTCGTTATTTTGTTACAATTCAGATGAAAAGATAGTGTGGTTTTATGAAATCACTGTGCAAGTGAAACTTTAAAATCTTATCTCTTTATGAATCTTTCATAAATAAATTAATAGTTTAAAAAATAATAAAAATACGCTTTTATTTACTGCACTAAAAAGCCAAAAAATATCAAAATATACTCTCTGTTAACTTCAATAGGGCCTTAGAGGTAGCCATGTTTATAGTTTATTTTAACATATATATATATATATATGTAGAATAAAATCCTCGCGGACCATGCAGCAGACGGGACTCGAACCAGCACCCTTCGCTATCCGGGCGAATGCACTGACTAATTATGCTACCGCGGCCCTGACGGCCGCGTCGAAATTCCTCTAGCCATTCTTAAGCTGCAAGTACTGCAAGTACAATGACTATAATTGCTATTTCTTTTTTCAAATGTTTAATACTTGTAAATGTATTCATTTGGCATAATAGGTTACAATGCGAAGAGATGGCGCTGTAGCTTGTAACAAGTCGACCTAATAAAACCTAAGAAACAAAGCGTGTTAAAAAAGTGGCAATTCTGAACGTAGATGGACGAACGTCTTTTGTTTTAATACGCTCGATTGAGAACCGATATAAACTGGCTTCGATTAGTCGAGTATAGTTGATTAATCGGTTGTAATCGCTGTCACACGTGCTTGAAGCTGTCACGCGTGATTTTGTCTGTACAATGAACATGTGCATCGATGTCAACTTCGATTCAGATAAGCGTTCTAATATTTAGTCATTGCAGTGTGTTGTATTTAAAACTGTAGGTAGACTTAGTCGATACCTTTTTCAGGATTCCGTATCTTAATCGGCAAAAACGGAACCCTTATAGGATCGCTCGGTTGTCTGTCTGTCAACGTCGAGTTGCTCGGAATCTACTGGACCGACAAGTTGAATTTTGGATATACATGTATGTCTGTGACCCAAACACGGATGAATAAAATAAATAAACAAATTCCGAACCCATACGGCTACTATTAGCGATTGATTTCGAAAATTAAAGAATAAAATTTTGCTTACTATAAGTACCGTGTTATATACCAAATGAAAGAGCTCAATGTGTCGGTTACACACACATTTTTGAAGTTATACTTCTTTAGGCGCGTTATGAAAAAATGATGAGAGTGAAATTTTAAGATGCGCGCGCATCACTGTAACACAAAATTTTAACAGCATGAAGTTGGTCGCTTTAGCGACCAACTTCATGCGTTACTTTTGTGTTTACCGCACATTAAGAAAATCTACCAACAATATAGAAATAGAATCTCTATTTAGTGGGTGCTAACGACTGCATTGTGAAGGCCTATCAAAAGTATTTATTAATCTGGAACAACGGAACCAAAGCGCAATTCAGGAGACTACAGCGCCATCTCTTGACCATTGGTGTAGTAGAACCAAAAACCACATCTTTATTTTTTGTAATAAAGTAACAGTTATAGGTATTCATATTTATAATATCAAAAGTATTTATTAATCTGGAACAACGGAACCAAAGCGCGATTCAGGAGACTACAGCGCCATCTCTTGACCATTGGTGTAGTAGAACCAAAAACCACATCTTTATTTTTTGTAATAAAGTAACAGTTATAGGTATTCATATTTATAATATTTATCCACATGTTTCTAGTTTGAATATTCGGAATACGTGTTTGAGTTTCATACAAGTGCAAATCACATATGTTCTAATAAATTATATTCAGTAGCGATTTTAATTGAATATTTTGATTATTTATTTATTTTTTCAAATTAAAACTGAACTTTATTGACTGTGTCCTTTTCCAGACTTTTTATTAATTTATTGTAATTAATTATTTGCATGCAATTAAAAACTAATTTTAAACGATGCCATAAAAGGATAACTTCTCACGCGCCTACATAAGTACACGCACCCATTTTTTTTATTAATGTAGAATGAACCGTCAATCTCCCTTCCGAACTTGTATATAAAGTACCGACTAGTTTCTCGTTTAGGGAGCGAAACACTATCAACCATGCCGCACTTGACCTGCCGTTGTTGACGACGGCAACGGGGACGCTAACTAAAGGCTGGCGTACTCTTGTAAAACTGGCACGAGAATTCCTTACCACTGAACACAGACTAATTAAAAAAAAACGAGCCGAACGGGACTTGATTAGGGGATATAAGCAAGAGAAAGCAGTGCGTGCGCACATTTTCTTTCTCTCTTTCTCTTATTCATACATGTATATATTGTACATATATATATATATACATACAAATGGAGCTACAGAAGTTTCATTTCAGTCGTGTGGTCATAAGCACACTGATTTTTTTGTTTTTGGGTATATCCTTTCTTAAGTAGTTACGCTAAATTTACGCGTTGTCCTTTTCATACTATAAATGTGAAAGTTTGTATGTTTGTTACTGATTCACGCAAAAACTACTGAACGGAAAACTAATACTCAGTTTGTTTATTTAGAAACTTGAGCCATGTATAATGTATAGACAAGTAAATGTCTCGATATCCTGTTCTTGGCAAAGGTTGCAAGCAACCCTCGAGAACTTTCTTCCCTCCCACGCCCAATTCAGTCTAGACGCCCACCAACAGTTACGACCACATAAAGACGACACGACGCATAAAAGTAAACTAAGGGATCTTATAGCACAAAAGGCAAGACTAGACCTATCGATTGCGTTATCATTTATACGATGACCCCATTACAAGTTCTCCTCGGTAAGAAATAAGCATAACAAATCATAATTTTGGAAACTAACAGCTGATTGCTAAAGTTATAATTAGTGTTAGTGCTTATTACGGACAAACAGTAAACCTACACTGAAAGACTGGACTTATTCTAATTATGATTTATTTAATAATTGGACGATTTAAAAGAGCTTTCTATAAGTCCAATTTGAATAAAGTATAATTTTATTGCATTTCATAGTTTTTAATGTTTTGTTCTGCAATCAGTATACTTAATGAAAACGGTCTTAAACTCCTATGCTCTATAATTTCATCGAATCATTCATAATTTTTCCGTTTTTGCAACTACTTTTTGTCGGTGACGCTGCGTTTATTTCAAACGATTTCCGTAACTCGTATATTGGCTCATACATAATGATACACATGAATTACAAATGAAGATATTATCATAGTTGATGTCCCGAGCGATGAAGGCAATGACACAGTCGACCGCCACATAGTACCTTCATTACACACATTTTTCTAGTGCCTGTCTAAAGACATCCCAGTTGTTCGAAATAAAAATTAATTTTATTATTGAGAAAAAGAGCATAGTA